GGATGTTTCTCAAGGTCAAGGCCGGAAGGGGGAGAGGGAGAGACCAGGAGACAGAGCGCGGGATCGGCCTACGCTGGCCTCCATGGATGCCCTCTCGTATGACATCCCTCAATGATTCCGGCAGCTGTAGGGGAGGGGGGGGGGGGCGCGGGCAGGGAGAGCAAGGGGGAGGGGAGGGGAGAGGGGAGACAGGGCTCCCCTGCAGCCGGGCTCTCACATGAGGGGCAGATCGCGAGTCTCGCGCTGGCCGATGGGCGTGTCACGCCAGATGTTCAGAAGGCGGTCCAGCTGCTCGCCGGTCTCACGGTGCGCCGGGAGGAAAATGTCTCGCGGGATGTCCCGCGGCTTGCCGTTCTCATCCAAGTCGGCCACCTCTTTGAAGGTTTGGAGGAGCTTTTGCCGCACATGGCCGGGGATGTTGATCTCGAAGGGGGAGTTGGTCATGATGAATTGGTCCCGCATGTCCAGCACCTCGTCGTAGCGTTGCATCGGGGTCATGCGCTTGTAATTATCGAGGAACCGCAGGGACCGAGTGTGGAACAGGTGGATCTCCGCACACCAGGACTCGATGCAGAAGTGCTCAAAGTGCATGGCCGGCCCGGGGAAGTGCCGGAAGGTCTCGAAGTCAAAGAGCCCGGTCTTGGAGCGGCCACTCTCAAGATGGCCCTCGATGTCCGGGTTCAAGTGCATGCGGTTGCGACTGTGGTGGAAGAAGGGAAAATGATTGAGCGTAGGTGGCCGCCCCGCCCCCCGTGGCTGAGTCAGTGTCCGATGGCATGGTGAACATGAAAATGAGAGGGTGGGGAGGGAGGGTGGGGAGGGAGGAAGGAGGACAATCGGAAAGAGGGGTGCTTGCCCCGTCCCGCTGCCATTGCCCTCCCCCCCCCCCCCCCCCCCCGCCTCCCCCCTGCCCCGCTCGCAGCCGGTGTGCTGTCGGGATTCTACGCACGTCAGCCTCTTGTAGAAAGGTAGGTAGGATAGGACCACGGGGAAGATGACAATCAGGAGGTTGTTGAAGGCCGTCAGGAAGATGGCGATGATGTCGGCCCGGAACCAGCCAGCTGCACCGGACACCGCGGCCGTGCCCCACAGGACCGCCAACACGAAAGAGGTGGAGGTATTGATCAGGAGCTCCTGCTTGATGCGGTACACGTCGCGCGAAGACCACACCAGGAAGACACAGCCGGCGATCAGAGGCACGAAGATGATGATTTCCAGGATGACCACATACATGGCACCATAGATGCAGGTGTCCAGGGAAGTGTCGAAGTCGGAGAAGCTCACATCAATGGTGCTGAGGATTGGCAAGCGGGGGTGGGGTGGGGGGGGGTGGGGGTGGGGGGTCAGGACAAGGACAGGCGGATGGAAAGAGGGGGAGACAAAAAGCCCCGTGGAAAGGCAGGTGCCGGACAGAGGGGCAAAAGGCAGCACCACATCGCGGTAGCTGGGGGGCAAACGCACAGGAAGAGGGCCGTCAGCATGAGACCCAATGACACGAGGTTGGCCACGGTGAAGAGGATGGCCTGGTTGCGGGAGGTCTGGAGCCACTTGATCACGGCAAAGCGATAGGTCTTGCGGAAGGTGATGGCCTCATTCAGCTCCTGTGCCAACTCCTGCTTGAGCTTGTAGATGTTGACCGTGCTGCCATCCTGCAGGGCGGCCACCTCGGCCAGGCTCAGCCGCGAGGAGGCCCAGCCAGGGCGGGCTGACTCGGGGAGGTGGAAGACGAGGAGGTCGCATCCATGCTGAGGGAACTGCTGGTGTCGGTCAAGGGCTCCGGCGTGGCGCAGGTGTCCATGCCCCCGGGCGAGGGGGGAACCTGGGCATGCGAATCGGCCGGGAGGGTGGCCTGCGCGGAGCCCATGGTCTTCATCGGATGGGCCTCCTGCCGGGAGTGTTGCTGCTGCTGCTGCTGCTGCTGCTGCTGCTGGGAGCGGCTCGGGCCCCAGGGGTTCAGGAGATTCCGGAAGCCGGAGTTCTGCTTGACCAGGGGGGACTTCTTGCGGCTACGGCGGCCGCCAATGTGCCCGTCCCCGCCGCCATGGGACTCCTTGCCCGGGGAGGTGGGCCCAACGGAGGAGGGGAAATCCGAGTGCAGGCTGGAGGTCTGGGCATCACGGAGCATGCTCAAGCGAGACACGCACATGGCATGGTGGTTGTGCAGATGCTTGTAGTAAACGACCACCGCGCGCAGGCAGTAGGGCTACATGGCATGCCGCGGCAGAGCCATGGGGGGGGGGGGATTGGCACAGGATGGGGGCGGTTAGGGGAGCGTGTAGGGGGGGGAGGGGCGGGGGGGGGGGGGAATGATCCCAAGCGCGACACAGGCACGCACCAGGCACCAGATGTTGGCGTAGAGGGAGGAGGTGATGAAAACCGGCCAGCAGGAGATGATCCGGTCCTTGTAGCCAATCGAGGCCACCAGAACCAGATGGTGCGCCAGGACAAAGACAAATGTCAATGTGGTGAGGACTCGCCCGCGGGGAGTGATCGGCTCTCTCCGGAAGCGGATGAAGTAGAGCAGGAAGAAGAACAGCTGGATCGGCACGGCGATCATGGCCAAGATGTCGACGAAGACGATGTCTACCATGGTGGATATGAAGGGAGGCAGGCGCGCGGCTTGGGCGGCAGGAAGAAAGGCATCAACTGGGACCTCGAGGGAAGAGGGTGCAGGGGGGGGGAGGGGGGGGGGGAGGGGGGCGTTGGCCAGGCCAAAGGCTTCCGCGGAGGAAGAATATCCCGGATAGGGCGCTGCTGGGGTGCGGGAGAGAGGGGAGGGGGGGGGAGAGGTGAGGATGGTGGATAATGCAGAGGGAATTGCCAGCTCCTTGGGGGCGAGGAGGGTGGGCCGGCGGGGCGGCTTTTCAGTGTCCAGCTCGGCTGTGCGTGTGTGTGTGTGTGTGTGAGAGAGAGAGAGAGAGAGAGAGAGAGAGAGAGAGAGAGAGAGAGAGAGAGAGAGAGAGAGAGAGAGAGGTGTGCCGGCTGGCCTGCCACCGGGCACTGGCGCAGGTCCAGAAGTGCGGGGCCCGAGCGCGAGGCGAACATCCCGGTCCTCCTTTCTTTCCCCCGCCCCGCCCCTGAGTTGGGGTAGGGGAGCCGAGGACCGAAGGGGGGCCGAAAGGGCTGCGATCGGTCGAGTATGCGCGCATGCAGCGGGGGACGCCCTGCCCATGCCCGCTCGGCATGGGCCGTTGCTTGGCCGATGGCAGTGGCTCCCAAGCGAGGAATCAGGACAAGCCCCTGCACTTAGTCTTGTCCGCCGGTCCTCCCCCCCCCGAGGGAAGCCGAGATGCTGTACGCACACTAAATGGCCAAGACCGGGGAAGTGGCGGAGGCCGGCGAACTGAGGTGTTTGTTTTTTTGCCGGGCTCCATGAAGCATGGAATGTGAATAGCCTTGGACAGCAAGACATGGGGAGAGAGGGGCGCCAGGACGCGGGGCAGAGGGGCGGAGGGGGGGCAAGGGGGGGGCAGGAATCTGATCGGAAGAATGGTGTCGGCTGTTTCCCCTAAGCTTGAGCGCGTGGGCATGTGTGTGTGTGTGTGTGTCTGGGTGTGCGTGTGCGCGCGCGCGTTGGTGTGGGCTGCCGAACGCATTCGGTCTGACCCCTTTGCCCTGGATGCCCCGAGGCAGATTCGGCTTTCGCCAAGCGGGGCTGGGACAAGCTCCAAACACGCGCACCGAGGCGGCCCGGGGCGGGCCGGGCAAGCGGACAAGCATGGAGACATGACCGAACACCGGGAGAGAGAGAGAGAGAGACACCGAGCAGGAAAGATGCCGAGGGAGGGATGCACACAGAAGGGGGCGGGGAAAAGAGCCCGGCAGACAGGCGGGGGGGGGGCACGGCCGCCCGCACCGGCGCCCGCACCCGCGGATCCAGGGGGCCCAGCCGAAGACGCGCGATCCGGGGGGGCCTTCGGGCCGGCGGTGTTGGGAGGACCACTAGGGCGGAGCACCCCGCTTGTCGCGCCGGCACGAAGTCCGCGCCCCGGCGAGCCCGCCCGGGCAACGGGGCTGCAGGCGGCCGGAGGAGGGGGCGCCGGCAACCGGGCGAGTAGGACAGCGGGGCGCACATTCACTCGTCACGCTGGGGCGCAGCAAGCGTGCACCCTCGCATGGGCAGGGGGTTCGCCCCCCGCCGGTCCAGACATCTGGGCGAAGCGACCCGGCCGGCGTCGGCGCAACCCGGCTAGCGGGCGGCCGGTGGGAAAACCGTCTGAGAAGCCCCCCCCCTGGACCGGCCGGCCAGCCGACCGACCGACCGGCCGGCCGGCGAGATCGCCCGGTGCCCGTGCCGAGAGGCGGGAACATCTAGCTACCAAGGGGCCGGACGAACGGCACACGCGTGCGCGCGAGCATAGCCCCTTCGCGAGGGCGAGGGCGGCCTGGAAGGCGGGCCTGGGCGGGGCGCCGAGTGAAACCGGGCGTTTTATTTTCTCACAGTTTCCATTGTGCAAGTAGCACGGCCGGTGGCATATTGGGGCCGGCCGGCCGGCCGGGCTTGCCGGTCGGTCGGCGATGAGCTAATCTCACTTTGAAGGGGGATTTTTAATAACACAAAAGCCTGGGCCGCGTCTTCCGGCCGGCCGGCCGGCCGGTTGGTGGTCATTCTCCGAGGCCTTTCTCCCACACACTGCTGAGAGGGTAAAAAGACCCCGCCGGCCCCGGCAGGTGTTCCTGTCAGCGGAGCCGAACCGCAGGGTGGCCCCGGCTGGGAGGAGCCTTGGCGAGACGGGGCGCATGGTGTGCCGGCGCCGATAGGCCAGGGCAGGATCCACAGGGCGGCCACCGGGCATGTTGCGGGACTAGTCGCCTGGATGGGCTGCCGGGCGCCCCAAATCCCCTCGAGGTGCGCCCCCGGTCGGCCGGTGCGCCAGGCCTGCCGGGGGAGCCGGCTTGGGCTTCCGTCGCCCGAGAGGGTCCCCCGGGACCGGCGGTCCCAACTCGCGCGGTGGGTGGACATGAAGGTCCCGAGGCCGGCCTGGATGTCCCCCGCCCGAGGCGCGCGCGGCGTCGGCCCCCGCCCGCGCACGCGCCTCTCACGAACAACCACAAGGCCGACCCCGCCGCGGCGGGGGGGGGGGGAGCTGGCCTGCGTCCGGCCCTCCGTCCGGCCCATCCTGCGGACAGCGGTTCCCCCGCCCCCCTCCTCCGGCCCCGGGGTCCCTGGTCGACGCAAAGGCGCAATGGCCCTTTTGCCACGGCGGGTGTGCGACCGCCGGGACAGCCGGGCGTGCCTCGGAGCCGGGCACCGGGGGGAGGGGGGCCGGCGGCGTGTGCGCGGGGCGCGGGAACGAGACACCCCGGCGCCGGGTCTGCGCCGAGTTCCTGCCGGGGGCGCATGACTCGCGGCGCGTCTTCCGGTCTTGGCCTGGGGAAAGGGCTCAGGTGAGCTCGCGCGGCATGCGGACCATGTCCTGGCAGCTCTCCGGCCCGGCCACGCGCTCACTGGCTGTTGTGTGTGCCAACAAATGGGCAGGAACGCGAGCCGGGATGTCTCCCTCTCTGCCTCTCTCTCTCTCTCCCTCGCCCTCACCCCCGCCCCCCCCCCCCGGGGGAAGGCCATTCACAAGTGCGGGCGCCGGGCGTGCGCGTCGCAGCAGCAGCAGCGCACCTCCGCCGTCTGGCCAGACAATATGCCCATCGCTGCGCGCAATGGGAGCCGGAGCCGCCGCGCGCGATGGGCGCCGCCCCGCGCCATCGGCCTGGCGCCCCCCCCCTTCCGAGAAAGGCCCTCGGGGGGGGGGGGGCCTGTCGCGGCCGGGGCTCGGGGGGGGGGGGCAGGCGCCCCTGGAGGCCTACCAGCCCAGGGAGGCAGAGTCCCCCCCGGTGAGCGGGGCCGCCCAAGGGGGCGGCGGTTTCACACGCGGCCGCCTGCTAGTGAGCATTGTCCGAGGCCCACGCGGCCGCTCGGCTATGGCCGGCCGTTGATTTTAGGTAGCATGCGGGTCGGTGAGCCTCGTCACCGAAGTAGACAAGCACGCTCGCCCGGTCGCAAGGCCGGGTTTCGGCCGGCCCCCCCGGCGGCGGCACACCCCGGGGCCCGAGTCCTTTCCACGAACTCCCATCCTCCGAGCCCGGGGGTCGCCGGTGTGCCCCCTGCCCAAGGGGCCTTTGACCTGGCCGGCGCTGCGTCAAGCCCTTCGGTTCGCGGTAGCCCGCCGCGCTGACCATCCTCCCGGTGACAGCCTCAAACCAGGTGGACGACGCCCGGGGCCGGGGGGGGGGGGGGGGGCTCGCACGCGGGAGAGGCGCGCCCGGCCCCGGCCCGTCTGTTCGGTGGTCTCCCCCGGCGGATGCACCCGTCTTCGGGGTCCGCCGGTCCGCCGGCCGGTTCAAGCGAATCAGCCGGGGCTGAACGACGGCCGGTGAATCATACGGGCGGAGTGCTGGGCGTGTGCGCGCGCGCGCGCGCGAGGCCCGCCCGGCGCCAGGCTGCTCGCCCTTCCGCTACACTAAAACCCCCGTCCCCCTCGCGGCCGGCCGCTCCGTCGCCGCCCTCTCCGGCGGCGGCCTCGTGCCCCGAGCGCGACGGGGGACGGCCGCGGTTCAGGTGGCCTCGAGGTCCTGCGCCAGGAGGGGGCACTCCGCCGGGAGCGGCCCGACCCATCGAGCCCCCCTCGGCCGCCGGAAAGATTCTCCCGGGAGGCTCCCGAAAAAAAAAAACCGCCACTCCTCGGCCGGGGTCCCCGCGCCTCGGGCCGCCGGGTCCCTCGCCCCTACCACCACCGGGGGCAAGGAGGGCGAGAGGTGGAGTCGCACTCGTCCAAGCCGCCCCCGCGCACCCCGGCGCGCCCGGGAGGACATAAGGCGAACAGCCGGCCAGAGAGACACCCCCCAGGCGGCCTGGTAGCCTGGGCTTTCTCACACGGAGGCGTCTCCTGTGCCATCCTGCCCGAAGGGCCGACCGGCTGTTGTCCTGACGGGGTGCATTCCCCGCGGTGCAGTGAGGGGGTCCGTCTCGCCTGTCTGGACCTTCCTGATGACTTCTCAATTAGCCGTCGACTTGCTTTCCTCACGCTGGCCCCCGCCCCCCCCCCCAAAGATGTTGCGGCGGGTGGGCAGAAACACACGCGCACCCCTCCCTGCCGCCGCTTCGACAGGCATGCGCCACCGCTTCTGCGCATAATGAGCCAACAGTTGCTCGGACATTTGGTGCCGATCAGCCGGCCGAATTCCTGCCCCGGCCCGGGGTGTGAGGCGCCCTGCGGCCGAGCTTTCCCGACGCCGGCGGCCTCTGTTCCCTTTGTCCGCGCGCGCGCCCCCC